TGTCAAATAATACCATGCGGGACACATTCGTTTTTTCTTCGCGCGCGCACGCCGTCGTCGTCGGCCGCGGGGCCCTGAATAGTAGCCACGGTCGTCCGCATGCCACGAAGTGAAGTGTCCGAACGTCATAGGGCGGGAAGCTGGGTGTGGGTGGTGGCGAAGAGTCGTATGGAAATTTGGTAGAGCTTGAACCGGCCCCCCCACAAAGTGGGGGTATTGCCCGCCTCCTATGAAAACCCTGGCACTGGTGAGAACGGAGTGTCCCCAGTCTTAAATGATTGTTGTTGTTGTTGTTGTTGTTGTTGTTGTTGTTGTTGTTGTTGTTTATGTTGAAGTTTTTGTTGAGTTTTTGAAATGCGAAACAATTGCTTTTGTTGGACACCCTACATCCACTATTGGCGCTCTCGCCTAGGCGCTGGCTGCATGTCCTTTGAAATTAGGCTCACTGTCAAGCGTTTCGGGGAACAGCTGAAGCGCCTCAACCCAACAATAACAAGGCTCCCGCTCGATACTTCCACCTCTTTTATTCGGGACCGTGGCTCTTGCTCGCCGCCGGAAGTCGGCTTTTCAACAAAACCGCGTTTCGGGGTTGCGCCGAAACGGCCCCCCAACAACAGCAACGCTCTGGCTCGATATTTCCCCCTTTTTACTCAGAGCCAGTGCCCTTGCTTGCCGCCGAAAGTTGGCTTTCCAACAAAACAAGCGCTCCCATTCGATACCACATTGCTTTTTGCTCAGGACTGGCTCCTGCCTCGGCGGCGCAGACGGCCTCCCTGCAAACAATGACGCTCCCGCTCGTTACAGCCTCCGCTTTTATTCAAGATTCCCAAGAGGCCCTGAGACTCACTCTCAGGCGTTTCGGGGTTCCCGGGGGGGTTCCGCGGCTTTCGTCCCCTGCTGGGGCGCACTGGCGCTCTCGCCTCGGCGCGCGGAAGCCCACGGCGGCGACACCGTCGTTGTCGTCGTCGTCGTCGTCGTCGTCGTCGTTGGCGTCGTCGTCGACGTCGTCGACGTCGTCGACTTCGTCGTCGTTGTCGTCGTCGTCGTCGTCGTCGTGGCAGGACCATCAGGTGGCGACGACGCGGCGGGGCCGCCGCAGTGAACCAAGCTATGCGGCGTCGGAGGTTTGAGGAGGGCGAAAATTATGCGGAGGAAGAGGGCATGTCTCGTGCCCCTTCTCATTGTGTCTGTCGCATCGTCGCTGTGTTCGTCGCGTGAGTGGTGTCGCCACTGTCTTTCGTAGTTGCACCTCTTTTGATCAAACTCATGATGCGCCAGTCGTTGCGCCCGACTTCATGCTTATCATACTGACAGCAGTCGCCGTTAGCAGCAGAAGCCTCATGCCATCGTCCAGACCGCCCAGGGTGTATGGGATTGACGCGGAAGGACGGACAGCGGACAGACGCAGAGGTGATTTGAGGGGGTGTGAGGGGGGATGGAGAGAGCAGGGGCATTACGATGTCATGGCTATCCCACGTAGTGGTCGAAGAAGAAAATACGGGCGGCGAAGCATGCCAGCTTTGCTAAGCTGCTTCACCTATGAGGCTCGACTTGCAGAGGCGGCGAAGGTGGAGGCGGGGGAGGCAGAGGCGGTGCCCTCGTCAGAGTCGGAGTAGGGCCAGGTGGACAAGCGGGCGTATGGGAGCATGATTGAGAATTGTAATGAATTTGAAGATGATGACGGTGATGATCACGACGACGACGACCAGGACGACGACGATGATGAAGATGGTGATGGTGGTAGTGTTGGTGATGATGATGATACTCATGATGACGATAATGGTTCTGATGATGATGGTGATGATGATGATGGCCTCAGATGATACTGTTAATGATGACAACGATGCTTCTGGTGCTGATGTAGGTGCTGCTGATGATGCTGATGGTGATGATGATGACGACGATGGTGATACTGATGCTGATGATGCTGATGCTGATGCTTATGCTGGGGATGGTGGTGGTGATTCTGATGATGATGATGATGATGATGATGATGATGGTGATGGTGATGGTGATGGTGATGGTGATGGTGATGATGATGACGCAGACGATGATGCTGATGATGATGCTGATGATGGCTATTGCGATGACGTTGATGATGCTGATACTGATGCTGATGATGATGATGATTATGCTGGTGATGATGGTGATGGTGATGGTGATGATGATGATGATGATGACGCAGACGATGATGCTGATGATGATGCTGATGATGGCTATTACGATGACGATGACAAGATGCTGATGCTGATGCTGATGATGGTGATTCTGATGATGATGAGGATGCTGCTGCTGCTGATAATTATGATGATGATGCTGCTGAGGACGCTGGTCGATAATGATGATGCTAATAATGCTGATTAGGCTGCTGCTGTTGAGGATGCTGCTGGTGAAAATGATGATGCTGATGATGATGGCGCTGATGATGTCGCTGATGATGCTGATGGTGATGGTGGCGACGATGATGATGACGATGATGTTGGTGATGATGATGACGCTGATGATTATGATGATGATGACGATGCCGATGATGATGATGACGATGATGATGATGATAATGATGATGATTATGATGATGATGCTGATGATGATGATGGTGATGAGGGTGGTGATGATGCTGATGCTGCTAATACTGATGCTGCTGATGATGACGCTGATAATGCTGCTGCTGGTGATGATGAGGATAATGATGATGCAGATGCAGATGATTATGAAGATGCTGATGATGATGCTGATGATGATGATGATGATGATGATGATGATGATGATGATGGTGGCGACCTGATGATGACGATGATGTTTGTGCTGATGGTGATGATGATGATGTTGGTGATGATCATCATCTTGTTTTGGATGATGCTGCTGTTGCATGGCGACCGCGATGACCACGATGATGACGATAATGATGACGATGATGCTGATGATTGTGATTCTGATGATGCTCATGATGATGATGATGATGACGCTGGTGAAGGTCATCGATGATGATGACGATGATGCTGATGATGCTGATCAGACTGCTGCTGACGATAATGCTGATGCTGATGTCGCTGATGATGATGCTGCTGATGATGATGATGATGGTGATGCTGATGATGACGATGATGTTAGTGATGATGCTGATGATGATAACGCCGCTGCTTCATGATGATGGTGATGATGAATTTGATGATGAATACGATGATGATGGCGATGATGCTGCTGATGATGATGCTGCTGCTAATGCTGATGCTGCTGATGACGATGCTGATGACGATGAAGATACTAACGGTGACGATGATGATGCTGATGACGATGGTGATGCTGATGCTGATGATGCTGATGATGTCGCTGATGATGATTATACTGATGCTGGAGATGATTACGATGATGATGATGATGATGATGATGATGATGATGATGATGATGATGATGATGATCTTGTTGTGGATAATGCTGCTGCTACATGGCGAAGGCGACGACGACGATGAAGAAGATAATGATGCTGCGGCTGCTGCTGCTGATGATGATAACTCCGACGACGACGATGATGACGACGACGACGACGGTGATGATGATTCTGATCATTGTGATGATGATGAAGAAGACGATGGTGTTTGTGAAGATATGATAATTTCGTTAATAATGATGATGACGATGATGATGATGATGATGCTGATCATGATGGTCATGATGCTATGATGATGCTGATGGTGATCATGCTTACGATGCTGATGCTCTTGATGATGATGCTGCTGATGATGATGCTGAAGATGATGATGATGATGATGATGATGATGATGATGATGATGATGATGATGATGATGATGATGACTTCGTCGACGACGACGATTGTACTTGTATATGCTGCTGATGGTGACGCTGTCTTTGGCGAATGCGATGGGTGAATATTACTGTGAGTCTGATTGTGAGCGATGAGTAGAAGATTACTGTGAGTCTTTGTGGACAACGGCGCTCAGTCGATGACGGCGTGCGGATGCTGGGGATGACTACGATGATGGCGCTGCTGACGATGGTGATACCGCTGAATTCGAGGATTATGAGGAGGACAGGGCGGGCCGTCGTCTCGTCTGTAGCCCCAGACATTTGGCAGCTCATTCGTTTCGAGGCGCGCCCCCCTGGACGTTTCGACCCCTTCTGGGGCCAGCTTTTCATCCCGAGGTCTCTTGGGTGGCCTCTGGGTCCGAAGCCGAAGATGGCCGCGTCGATATTTCCGAGCCGCCGAATGCGTGGGCCCCTCCAGGTCCAAGCGACACAGGCTGTCCCCTGGAGCCGTCCAGGGGTGCGCTCTGGCCAGAAGCTTGAGAGGAATCCAGCCGTGGCGATGAGGAGCCCCCCGGAGGCCCACAGAGGGTGACAAGCGTCTGCTCCAAAAACTTTCAGCCTCGACCCTCGATCCTCCCTCCTTCCGCGATTCTGCTCCCGCTTGTCTCCAAGATCCGCTCAGTTGGTCGCCCTGGATCGATTCCCAGCGGCCCTTCGGCCCGACGCTGCCCCCCCAGAAGATGAGATCGAATAATAACGCCCAACGCGATCTGTCTAGTGTTGTCGAGAGAAGCGACACGCCGACCATGGCCAAGATATCGCGAGATCTTGTTGGCCCTCCTGGTCATGGCCCATGCTGGCCGTCGCCGATTCGCGAGGATGATCCACGAACCAACGGTGACCACGATGGACGGTGACCAAGATCGACACCGACGTTTCCGCGTTCAGTCTTGGCCATGGTCTTCGCTTCTTCCCCTCCGCATTGAATTTCCGTGGAGCCGCCGCCTGCTCCCCTCCCAAAAAATCGGCGGCGCGCCCAGGGGGGGAGTGAGAAGGAGCAGGCCTTCTCAGAAGGCGGCGGGGTCTCTCAGAGGCCCTCTGGCCTTCTGTTTTGGTTTCTGCGCCTCGGGGATGGCCGAGAAAACTTCCGCTGGAAGGCCCGGGACCTTCTTGGCCTTCTGCGAAGGCCTGGCCCTTGTCGTGCCCCCCCCTCGGCTCGCCGCCCTCTTGAAAAGGTTTCTGGGCCAGTACTTCCCGTCCGCCCTCTCGCTCGCCAGCGACTTCTGGCGCGTGGCGGCGATAGGCCTCGTGTGCGCCCCCTTGCCCAGTGGATGTCAATGTCGATGGTGACGACGATGATCATGCTGACAATGCTGATGGCGATGGCGATTACGATTACGATCACGGTTACGATGATGACGATGACGACGACGATGACAATGTTGATGATGCTGATGATGGTGATAAAGAATGATGGAGATGATGAAGATGATGATGACGATGATGGACATGATGCTGCTGCTGCTGATGATGTTGATGATGATGATGATGATGATGATGATGATGATGATGATGATGATGACGATGGTAATAGTGAATTTGATGGTGCTGGTTACGATGGTGATGCCGTGCATGATGATGGTGTTGTTGTTGCTGCTGCTGTTTTTGCTGTTGTTGTCTTCTTTGGGCAAGGACGGGGCCCTGGTACCCCTGGAGGAGTTGCTGGATGGGGGTGCAACTGCTTTCACGCAATGCTCGAGCGGGAGCGCTGGGGGGGGCGTGCGCAAAAGGGCGGAGGGAAACGCAACCAACGGCGCAACTGGGCGGGGGAGCGAGTGCGCAACACGGGGAGGGGACGGCGCATACCATTGCTATTCCATGCCCAGCAGGTCCGTAGGGAAGGCGCATCCCATTCTACTCTTGGGGGCGCACTGGAGCGCTCCCTGCGAGCGCCCTGCGGACGCTTCCTGTGCGCCCTGGGCGCGCTCCCTAGAGCGCATTTGGATCGCGCCGGAGGGGCGCGCTAGGCTCTCACTGGGAGCGTTCCCTGGGGTGCATTGGGATCATCCGTCATACTAGGTCATATTAGGACTGGAACGAGCTCTAGTCGGAGTCGATTGGAGCTGGAACCAGGTCTAGTAGGATCCTATCAGAGCTGGACCCGGCCAGCTCTAGTAGGGTCTTGTTAGAGCTTGGCCGAGCTTGGTAGGATCCTTAGAGTTGGACCCAGTTTAGGTAGGACTCTATCAGGGCTGGACAGCTCTTGTAGTAGGATCCTATTCGAGCTGGGCGCAGCGTTAGAACGATTCTGGTAGAGCTGGACCAAGCTCTAGTAGAGTTCTATTCGAGTTGAACCGAGCTCCAGTAGGATCCTCTGAGAGTTGGACAGCTCTAGTAGGATCGTATTAGAGCTGGACCCAGCACTGGTAGGGTTTTCCATTGAAACTGGACCAAGCTCAAGTAGTATCTTATTCGAGTTGGACCCAGCTCTATTAGGATCCGATAAGAGTGGTTCTTGTAGAGCTGGACCGAGGCCTAGTAGGGTCTCATTAGAGCTGGACCGAGCTCTAGTCGTATTCGATTAGAACTGGGCCCAATTCTATTATACTTCCTGTAGACTTGGACACAGCTCCGGAAGGATCCAGTTAGAGCTGGACCCATCTCTAGATGGAAATATGATCAAGCCAGAGCTGGACGCAGCTCTCGTAGGATCAGAACAAAGCTGGACACAGCTCTGGGAGGGTGCAGGTAGTGTTGGGCCGTGCTATAGCACGAGAGTTTGATACAGTTGAACCCAGCCCTCGTAGAACATTTTATCAGAGCAGGGCACCGCTATAGTAGGATAGCGAAAGCTTTGCGGCCGGTGTCGCCGACCAGGAAGGGGGACGACGACGGCGACGGCAGCGGCGGCGACGACGACGACGCTGACGTGGGTCAGGGTCCTCAGGGATGTTTCTTGGGGTCTTTTGGGGGAGCTTTCGGGGGGCTCCAGGGAGGAATTTTGGGGTCTCTTGGGGGCCTCTTGGGGGCCTCTTGGGAGCCTTTTTAGGGGCCTCTTCGGACTTCCTAGGGGCCTCTTGTGGGCCTCTTTGTGGTCCCTTGTGGACCTCTTGGGGCCTCCTGGGAGCATCTCGGGTCCGAGGGCTCGACATGTTCGTTTGGGTCCACCGTCTGGGCGCGCTCTTGGGGCAGTCTTGGGGGCCCCTTGGGCCGTCTTGGACGCGATTTGGGCTGCTTCGGGCCCTCTTGGGCTGTTTTGAAGCGCTCTTGGACGCCTCTTGGGCCGTCTTGGGGCGATCTTGAGGGCCTCTTCGGCCGTCCTGGTGCGGCGGGAGGCGGAAACGGCGAGAACGCCAAAATTGTTCACAAGAATACAGAAGATCAATGAATTTCTCCCCGTGGGTTCCTTTCGGAAGTGCTCTTGGACGCCTGTTGGGGCTTCCTCCTGGGCAGTCTGGAGGGCGTAAAGGTGTTTTGGACTGATTGTTTGGCGATTGGGGGCCCTCTTGGGCCGTCTCGGGGGCCTCTTGGGGCACTCCTGGCCTGTCCTGGTACTTCTTTTGCGGCCCTGGGACCCCCGTGGGGGGATGCATATCTGACCTGCCCCCCCCAGCGGGGAAGGGATCAAAGGAAAGGGCTTCCTTTCGATTCGGTTGCGATACTGCTAGTTTTTCCTCTCGTTGACAGGCTTGAGAAGGGGGGTGCAGGGAAAAGGGGCGACGGAGACTACGACTGACGGAGACGACGGCTCGAACAGACACCCCCTCGCACACGCCGACAGGGTCGGCGAATTCTATTAGAGCCAGACCCAGCTCTAGTTGGATCCCATTACGGTTGGTTGCGGCCGACTGGTTTCAACCCAGCGAAGGACAACGAAGGCACCAATTCTATGAGTACCAGAATTGGTGGACAAGAAGTATCCTTCAGGAGGGTTGCAGTATGTGATTGGCTTCGCCGTCAACAGCATGCTTTCGTCGTGGTGCTCCGCGAAAGAAGACAGACTTACAACCGAAAGCATGGCTACCTGGTGTTGGTTCAACAATTCGGTTTGTTACGTCGTCGTTATGACTGCGCGTTTCCGCGCGCCCGCAGTTTCCTTTTTCGCTGTCCCCGCGCTCTTTGTTATCAGCCTTTTTCGTATTCGCTCTGCTCTGTTCCCGCATGCTCTTTCGCGAACGCAACTTGCGTTGTCGAGTCTCTTTTGAAATCGGGAACGCCCCGCGTTCTTCTTCCGCCCGAGTTCGAAGTGCCGCGCGCGTCGTCGTCGTCGTCGTCGTCGTCGTCTTCGTCGTAGTTGTCGTCGTTGTGGTGGTCGTCATCGTCGTCGTCGTTTCCGTCGTCGGTTCCGTCGTCGCCATCGCCGTGGTCGCTCTACGGCGGGAGAATCCAATTTCGAAAACAGAATAGTGAAAACCTTAATACGATCCCGACGTTGACGCTGATGCTGCTGCTAAAGACGGCGGCGTTGTTGATGACAGGCGTGCGCCGTTGGAAAGGTATTGGCCGCGCTTTTTCGTCGTTGCCCATGCACATGCCCCCTCCTTTATTCCCCATCCTATTCCTCCATTTCGCCCTAAGCCCTCCGCCGTCTCTGTCCTCCTCTTCCGCCTCTTCCCTCCCCTCCTCCCTTCTCTCATGCCTCCACCTGCCCCTTCCCCTGTCGTCGTTCCTCCCCCCGCCTTCTTCCCAGATTATCTCCCTTCCCATCTGCCTCGTCCTTGGTCAGCTTCGTCTTCCTCGCCCGCCTTTCCCTTTGCATTGCCCTCCCGCCTCGTCGCGGGCGCGAGGCGGGCGTTTCGCGCCCGGGAGGCCGCCGGGCGACGACTTGCCGGCGGCCTGGCGGCGTTTTCGAAACAGCGCTGGGGTCGGCGGCCCTCCCTGGTCCGAAAAAGGGCCTGGGGGGGCCCCGAACGAGGATGAACCAACGATGCGAACGAAACAAAACCGAATGCGGACATCGCGTTAGTTTTCGCATGTTTTCCCCCAGCCATCCTGCGATGGGTCCTCGTTTTGAAGAGACGGTCCCCGCGTTCCTTTTCTCCTTTCCTCCTCCTCCCCCTCCTCCACCTCCTCCATTTTCCAGGCGTTTCACCCACGCAGCACAGCGTTTGGCCCCATGAGAGGCCCCACCGAAGGTCCCAGTGGCACCGCCCGCACGCGTCCGCCACCACCCAGCACAGCCTTTGCTCCCTGCGTTTCACCCACCCAATACAGCGTTTCATGGTCCCATAGGGGGCTCCACCGAAGGTCCCAGTGGCACCGCCCGCGTGCGTCCGCCACCGCCCAGCGCAGCCCTTGCTCCTTGCGTTTCGCCCACCCACTACAGCGTTTCGTGGCCCCGTATAAAGGGGGCCCCGGCGAAACCCTTATTTGGACCGCCCGCATGCCTCCGCCACCGCCCAGCGCAGCCCGTGCTCCCTGCGTTTCACCCACCCAGTACAGCGCTTCGTGGCCCGGGGCTCCACGGAAGGTCCCAGTGGCGCCGCCCGCGTGCGTCCGCCACCACCCAGCACAGCCCTTGCTCCCTGCGTATCACCCACCCAGTACAGCGTTTCGTGGCCCCATAAGGAGCTCCACCGAAGGTCCCAGTGGCGCCGCCCGCATGCGTCCGCCACCACCCAGCACAGCCGTTGCTCCCTGCGTATCACCCACCCAGTGCAGCGTTTCGTGGCCCCATAGGGAGCTCCACCGAAGGTCCCAGTGGCACCGCCCGCGTGCGTCCGCCACCGCCCAACACAGCCCTTGCCCTTGCGTTTCGCCCACCCAGTACAGCGTTTCGTGGCCCCATGGGGAGCTCCACGGGAGGTCCCAGTGGCACCGCCCGCATGCGTCCGCCACCACCCAGCACAGCCCTTGCTCCTTGCGTTTCGCCCGCCCAGTACAGCGTTTCGTGGCCCCATAAGGAGCTCCATCGAAAGTTCCAGTGGCACCGCCCGCATGCGTCCGCCACAACCCAGTACAGCCATTGCTCTTTTCGTTTCACCCACCCGACACAGCGTTTCGTGGCCCCGTGGGGGGCTCCACCGAAGGTCCCAGTGGCACCGCCCGCATGCGTCCGCCACCACCCAGAACAGCCATTGCTCCCTGCGTTTCACCCACCCAGTGCAGCGATTCGTGGTCCCAAAAGGGAGCTCCACGGAAGGTCCCAGTGGCACCGTTCGCGTGCGTCCGCCCCCGCCCAACACGGACCTTCGCTCCTTGCGTTTCACCCACCCAGTACAGCGTTTCGTGGCCCCATAGGGAGCGCCACCGAAGAAGATATTCACAATTGCGGAACTCACAATTTCATAAGGTTGGGTCTGT